GGGGGGCACACGCCAGCTGGGGCTGCCTGGCACTGCCACCCACGGCAGGCGTTGGCCCCCGCCTCCCCCTGCACCGCCCGTGCAGCCCCGGCCCCTCACTCCCGACCCACAACCCCTGCCCTCCCAAGCCATCACTCCTGACCGGCGACCACTACCCTTCACTCGTAACCTGCTTCTGACCCCCCCGGCTCGACGGCGCCCATCTCCCGTGCCTGTGATCGGTGGGCCCCCGAGTCTGGCAAGGAAAGCCCCGTGGCGGGGAGCAACCCAGGCACCCCCCATGGCCCCCGGCTCCGTCCCCTCTCTCGCTCAGCTCAGCTCAGCTCAGCTCAGCTCAGCTCAGCTCAGCTCAGCTCAGCCGCCCGGCTCCAGGGCAGGGCCCCCGCGCGGCTCCAGGGATGCGGCAGGAACCCAGGAGTGCCGGGTGCCAGCCCTGTGCAAGGGGGGGTCCGGGGCATTCGGGGCAGTGGCTCCGCGGGCTGGCAGGCCCCCCCTCCCCGCTGCACTCACCTGCCGGGTCCCGGCCGCATGCGGGGCTTCCCTTGGCAACAGCTGATGGCATCCCGGGGGGTGTTGGGGGGGCCGGGGCCGAGCGGCTCGGCAGCGCGGCGAGAGCTGGTCCCGCAGGGCGGTCGCTTAGCAACAGCTGACGACGGCTCCGCACCGTCATGCAGGCGCCGGAGCCGCTCCCCCAACCTGCCCGGGCCCAACCTCCCTGCGCCCTGCTGCACCTGGGGCTGGGACGGGGGTCCGCCCGGCCACCCCCGGGAACAGCACCTCAGCTGGAGCCGGCCCTCCCACGGCCCTGCAAGCACAACTCAGCCCCGGCGGCTTTGCTGGGCGATGCTGGCAATACCGGCTCCTGCCAGGGCACCTAACTCAGGGTACGAGGGGCTGGGGGCAGCACCGCGGGGTGGGGGCAATCCTGCCGGGGCAGGGCGAGCCTACCGGCGTCATCGGGGGAGCTGCCAGCGGGGCTGCCCTGGCTCAGCGTGGCCCAGCTGGAGTCCTCGTCGCTGGCGGCGCTGCCGCGGGGCCCGAAGAGCCGGCTGGCACTCTTGCCCAGCTCGCGTGGCGCCCGCTCCCAACTGGGCTCCGACTCAGCTGTCACCGGGTCGCTCTGCACCGGCGTCGAGTCCTCATCGTCCTCGTCCTCGTCTTCCTCGTCCTCCTCGTCGCCCGGGCCCAGGGGTGCCAGCTCGTTGCGGTTCTGGTCCCGCGCCGCCGCGGCGCGCCGCATCTGGTTCTGCCCATCCTTGGCCCACTTGGCATTGGCCGGCTCCTCAGCCGTGCTGCCCATGCGCCGCGGCGGGTC